GCTCTCCAGAAGGGACTCCCCAAAAAGTCCGGCAGCTGATAGATGAGGGAATTGCCCCGGAAGAGGGAGGCGCCGGCGCCGAAGCGTGAGTGCAGGCTGTGTCTGGCGACGGCAAATTGAAGAGGGTTTAGGGGACTCGGACCAGAGGGGATACCTGGGTCTGTAACTCAGGCGGTGGGGGTGGCTTCGACCCGGGATCTTGAAGAGACTGGGATTACTTCGCCTTGTCGCCTTTAATCTTCTCCTCAGGAGATACTGGATCCCACACCGCGGGCGCAATTTTGTCTTAAGGCAGACTTTTTTTTTTTTTTTAATAACCGGGGCGGGAGGAAAAAAAGAGGACTCCTAACTGGAAATGCGCACCCGATTTCTCTTGGTTGGACTTCTTAACCTTTTTAAAGTCCTAGACACTTTTGGCGGCCTTGTAAAGTTTATGAACACCTCAGAAAGTTATATTTTTAAATGCATGAAGTAAAATGCATAGGATTATAAAGGATACCACTTATGTTGGAATGCAGTTAGTTATCAGGAAGTAAAAGATTAAAAAAGTGATACAGTAAAACTCATTAGTAAAACGCTTAATTATTTAGTAGTAGATATGTTGTCTACTGTAATTTTGAAGTAGTGCTAAGCATAAACGGTACATACGCAGTAACCATATGTGACAAAATATCTGTGAGTTCCATGGTGACAAGTTTACAGGTACTGCTGATGCTACTGTGGTTTTTTAAATTATCTTCATTCATAATGGAAAGAAGTGCTGCATTTCAGTTAGAAATTACTAAAAGAAATGTCACTTTTTTCTATCCAAATTTTTGAATCCTCTGAATTTTTTCCAAGATCCAACCTCCCTGAGGCTCTCTGTGACCCTCAGAAGGATTCTTAGAATAAATTACTTTGACTTATAATAACTGATGTAATCTTGAAAGTGAAAGTCGCTCAGTAGTGCCCGACTCTTTGCGACCCCATGAACTATACAGTCCATAGAATACTCCAGTCCAGAATATTGGAGTGGGTAGCAGTTACCTTCTCCAGGGTATCTTCCTAACCCAGGGGTCAAACCCAGGTCTCCCACATTGCAGGCGGATTCTTTACCAGCTGAGCCACCAGGGAAGCCCCGATGTAATTTTACTTTTATTAAAATTACTTTTGTCTAACACAGTTCCTCCCTTTACCCTATGCAGGCTCTGTTGAAGTGCCTTTCATTGAATATAAAATAATTGTTTTGCTGTGTTTTTTTCCCTTGAATTTTTAAATGAAATAGCCTAAAAATCTTTACCTAGATTTAAATTTTCAAATTAGTTCCTTTGGGGGAAAAGTGGGTATCACGTATCAATCTAGGTAGAAATATAAAAACTTATTTTCTGCTGTTAAAAGAGTTGAATTTATAAGGTGGTTCAATTTGTATATGGATAGAAGCCTTGAGTCTTGTTTTGTGTTTACAAAAGTTATGCAAAGTGCTGTCAGAGACCAGAGAGTGAGGTAAAACAGTTTACTAGTGCAGGATTAGCAGAGCATGGTGGAAGTAGAAATTGCTTGAAACTTAGTTGTGGCCAAACTGTAAAGAGATTTGAATGCCAGACTGAAGAATTTGGATTCTGTGAAACTACTGAAAATGTTGAGAAGTGAAATTTAGAAAGTTTAAAATCTAGAGTGGTGTGATTGATATTATGATGTACAGAGATGCCAGATACAAAATGTTTAGGCAAAGTGATGCCCTGAAAGGATTACCAGTAGTTCTGCCGCTTTATTTTAGGAAGGACACATCTGCCACATTCCAGTCAGTTAATGGATCACCCCAAGCAGAAGAACCTCCGTTGGAATCTACAAGCAAAGAAGCCTTCTTTAGCAGAGTGGAAACATATTCTATATCCTTCTAGGTTCATGTGAGTTGCATGTTCTCCTGCTGCTGAATTGTTTTTTTTTTCCCCCAGGAATAACACCACTTACTCTGATGTTTTAATTTTTAGAATTAAACTTGATAAGAATTTTTTTTAGGAAAATTAACATCATAAAATATTAAGGGACATTTGACTTCTAATCTTTTTTTTTCCCACAGAAGAGAAAACTAAGAGCCTGTGAGAAAAAGGAATAATAACTGACGTTGTTTACAGTGTTTTCATGTTTATTATCACATTTGAGCTTCATCTTAAACATATGAAAATAAGTATTCTTAATCTCATTTTGCAAAGAGAAAACAGTTCAGGTAGATTATTTGATTTACCCAGGGTCAACTTGTTAGTAACTGGTAGAACCGGAATTATGATGTAAGGCTCTTAGTGCTCAAACCTAATGTTATTTTAGACTATAGTACATTTCCTGTCTCTTTCAAGATTTTCCTCTGTAAGTTATCCATGGTTGCACAACAAATTATCCTCAGACTTAGTAGCTTAAAACTACAAACACTTATTATCTCACGTTTTCTGTGGATCAGCAATCTAGGCACAGCTTAGCTGAGTCGTATGGTTCAAGGCCTCTCTCAGACTGTCGTCAAAGTGTTGGCCAGGACTAGACTAGTAAAGGATCTACTTCTAAGCTCACTCACGTGGTTGTGGGCAAGATTAATTTCCTCATGGCTACTGGAGTGAGGGTTTCAGTTCTTTACTGGCTTTTGACTGGAGCTACATGGGCCTCTTACAGGGATAGTTCACAACATCGCCACAGACCTCAGTCAGAGTGAGCGAGCAAGAAAGAGCAAGATAGAAGCTAGATTATTTTTATAACCTAGTCTCAAGCAACATTGCATCACTTTTGCCGTTTTCTATTTGCTAGAGTGTTTTTAATTTAAAAGCAGTTACAGACTTAATAGAAAAGTTGTACAGGTTACATAGAACCTTCTTTTGAGTACTTGAAAGTAAGTTGCCAAAGTGACACCTCATGACCCACAAATATTCCCCACAAACAATGACTTTCTTTCACATAACCACAATGAAATCATCAAAATTGGGAAATTCACATACTAAATTACTACAGTCTAACCCTTACATCATAATAATTCCATCAGTTGTCATCATAACCTTCTTAAGAGGATCTAGTTAAAAATCTTCACTTTTTCTTTGAATTTCATGACCTTGATACTTTTGAAAATGATAGGCCAGTTATTTTATAGAACGTATCTCAGTTTGCATTTGTCTGATGTTTGGTTATGATGAGATGCAAGTTGTGATGCTGTGTTCTCATTGCATCCTGTCAGGTGGCACACGCTTTTGATATGCCCCTTTACCCGGATTATCATTTTGATCAGTTGATTAAGTGGGTGTCTGTCGGTGTTTACTGTTGTAAAATAACTTTTTTCTCCTTTGTAATTAAGCTGTTTGGTGGGAATGTGCTTTGAAGCTACGTAAATATAATTCCTCATCAAACTTTATGTAACTTATTTGTAGTAGCTTGGTCTCCTGATTTCCTTTTTTATTCAATGGATTTTAATCCATTAGTATTATATTTTGAAATTCCAGTTGCCCCTGATTTGGTGAGTGGGAGGCCCTTGTAGATACTCTTTACACCTCACTTGGCTACAGCACCCCAAGGTGCTCCACCTTTTTATGTGGACTCCCTCTTTACTTCGGCTTTGATGCTTTGCCCTGAGCTGTCTCCCTCACCCTCCTGGCTTATTCCTCTGCCTTGCACCACCTGGTGGCTTTAGGACTAAATTGTTCAGGAAGGAGAAAGTATTTTAACCATCCTTGTACTGCTGTTCCTTGAATTAATTCCTAATATTGATGCAGCATTTAAAAATTATTTCATTTTGTTATTTTTTGTTCTCAGAAATTTAATTTGATTGCCACTTTGATATGATAATTATTTATTTGACCTAAGCTAGGTAAGTGATTCTTTTACTTTTTAAAAAATTTATTTAGTTTTTAATTGAAGGATAATTGCTTTACAGAATTTTGTTGTTTCCTTCTTTTATTCTACAGAATCCAAACTCCTTTAACATTTATATCTAGATTCTATTTCTTTTTTTTTTTAGATTCTATTTCTAGTCTTCAATCCTTTTGTTGCTATTAAAATGTTTTCAAATTCCAATATCCCTTGTAAAAATACAGAACTTTCCCGCAACTTTCATGTTTTATTCTTTTTTTGTATGTGTGCTCTGTAAAACAAGAGCTCTATAGGTAAACAGAAAAAACCGAATGTTGAATGTTAAAGATCAATAAATGTTTTTTATTTTATACTTGTAGATGCTCTTAATGCTCTCAGCCTATTTAAAACACACATACCACCTACACACATTAGTATATAACAGTCAAATTTAGGGCAGGGATGAATAATGAATATTTTTAATTTTACTGACTTTATTCTTCAGAAGGTAAAAGTAGGGCAGCACAGATGAGCGATAAATATTTCTGTTGTTTGACCTTCACCATCCCTTGTTGCTCAGCCAAATCCTGGTATTTCACTAGTGTTTTCAAATCCTTAGAATTTTTTTATTTTATTGTATTTATTTATGGCTGCGCTGGGTCTTCATTGCTGTATGCAGGCTTTCTCTAATTGTAGCAAGCAGGTGCTACTCTTCGTTGCAGTGCACGGGCTTGTCGTTGTGGTGGCTTCCGTTGCAGAGCATGGGTTCTAGGGTACTCTGGCTTCAGTAGTTGTGGACCTCGGGCTTAGTTGCTCTGTAGCATGTGGGATCTTCTTGGACTAGGGGTCGAACCTGTGTCCCCATCATTGGCAGGTGGACTCCCAAACACTGGACCACCAAGGCAGTCCCTAGTATTTCATATTAAGCAAAACAGAATGGCTTCTCTACTCCATCCCACAACTGAAAATAAAAAACATTTTAAGCATATAAAATATATAGGGCTTCCCATAGCTTTTCCTCTGAATGTGTTTATTCCTAAATATACTAAGAGTGAATTAAAGTTTTCATTTCTGGCTTGTTCATTTTAATGTACTCATGTTTTTCTTAACATGAATACTCTCTGAAATGGGCAGGCAAGCCCTCTGAGCTGTCTCCATTGGTCTGTGCAAAATACGGATGGGTCACGGTTGAGTGTGATATGTTGAAGTGCTCCAGCTGTCAGGCTTTCCTCTGTGCCACTTTACAACCAGCTTTTGATTTTGACAGATGTAAGTATAAAGTACAAATTACATTTTTCTCCAAGTTCAAAAGATATCTATGCTAGCTTTTCGGAAAATACTAGCAACTTGTGTTTGATCAAGAATGTGTCCTTCTATATATAACAAGGTAAATTTGTGATTTTCTTCACCCTAATTATTAGCTTCATTCATTACTTTTTTTTTTTTTTTAAAGCTCAGCTACTTTAGAGTGAACTTGTCTTTATGCATTCTGGGAAACTTAACAGCAATATGTTTATATTAGGATTCTGAAATTTATACTTTAGGCTAAGAAACACAGGGCATTAATGAAGGCTCACATTTTGGAATGCTCTGCTTTATAAAGATACATAATAGCTCCTTGTTAACTGGTCTTAGAATCTTGATTTAAAACTTGTGACAAATATTAAGATAATGCAGTTACTAATATTTCATATCTTTAAAAATTGCCTTAGTTATTTTTATTTTTAGTTGTATCTATACTCTTAAAGGCTCTTGGCCATTGGATTTTGAATCTGTGATAGTGTTTTTTTTTCTTTTATTTTTATTAGTTGGAGGCTAATTACTTTATAATATTGTAGTGGTTTTTGTCATACATTGACATGAATCAGCCATGGATTTACATGTATTCCCCATCCCGGTCCCCCCTCCCACCTCCCTCTCCACGCGATTCCTCTGGGTCTTCCCAGGGCACCAGGCCCGAGCACTTGTCTCATGCATTCAGCCTGGGCTGGTGATCTGTTTCACCCTAGATAATATACATGTTTCGATGCTGTTCTCTCGAAACATCCCACCCTCGTCTTCTCCCACAGAGTCCAAAATTGCAGCACTATTTATAATAGCCAGGACATGGAAGCAAACTAGATGCCCATCAGCAGACGAATGGATAAGGAAGCTGTAGTACATATACACCATGGAATATTACTCAGCCATTAAAAAGAATTCATTTGAGTCAGTTCTAATGAGATGGATGAAACTGGAGCCCATTATATAAAGTGAAGTAAGCCAGAAAGATAAAGACCAATACAGTATACTAACGCATATATGTGGAATTTAGAAAGATGGTAACGATAACCCTATATGTAAAACAGAAAAAGAGACACAGATGTACAGAACAGAATTGTGATAGTGTTTTTTAAGGCATTGTTACCTGTGTGGCTTTCAGATAAGGAACGATGTGCTGAGCTGAAGAAAGCCTTATGTACTGCCCATGAGAAGTTCTGTTTCTGGCCAGACAGCCCCTCTCCAGGTACTTATTCCCAACATTTCCCAATTATCATCTCTTTGGTCACTGCATTTTAGTATTGTCTATTTCTTTGTATAAATCTAGTTTTTGAAGTTTCTTTCTCCTCCTTTCTATTTGTGCTTTACAAGAAGAACTGACTTTAATTTATTCTTATGTCATTATTTTATTAAATGCATTTGACATGACAGAGATTAAACCATGCATACATTATCCTGTTTAATCCTTGCAGGGGCCCTGGGAGGTAAATATTATCAATCTGATTCTTAGATAAGGAAACTGAGAATCAGATATCTTAAAACCAAGTAGTGAGGAGTCATAGTTTAATCTAGTTTTATATATCTAATTTTATCAGCCACTAGTTTTATCTGATTTCAAACTCTCTGCCTTTCTCACCGTAGCAAACCAGCCCCATGTGCTGCCCAGGTTTCCTGGTACACTAATGGCATTAATGGTGGCAGTTAAACAGGGTCAGTTGCTAAGGAAGACTCACAGGACTGCACATGAGAGTGATCACAAATCTACAGTTTATGACAGTAAAGCAGCACAACATAGCAGTAGCACTGAAGTGAAGGTATCACAGGGGCTTCCCAGGTGGTCCAGCGGTAAAGAACCCACCTGCATACAGGAGATTCCAGAGATGAGCCCCAGATCGGGAAGATCCCCTGGAGGAGGAAATGGCAACTCACTCCCATACTTTTGCCTGGAAAAATCCCATGAACAGAGGAACCTGGCAGGCTACAGTCCATGGTTCACAAAAGAGTTGGACATGACTTAGTGACCAAACAACAACAACAAAGGATATCACAGCCAAGGACTCCCCTGTCGTAAGGAGTCTGGAGAGGCCAGGTGCAGGCTCCTCTTGAACTTCCTGTAGAAGAGCTGTGGCAGTATGCCCTTTCTCTCAAATCAGAAAGCACTCATGTGTGCACAAAGCTCTTCAGAACAAGGGAGCCTAAAATGTAGTCTCAGGTGGTACTTGTTTATATTTTGCTGGTCTCGGAGGCATATTGTTGAGTAAAGCCTCAAGAGCAGAGCCTTCTGGGTCGCTCACCAAGACCAGAGACAAAACTCTTTGGACCCATAGGACGTGTCTCTTTGTTTTATTCTTAACTTTTTAAGTAATTTCTAAAATTTTAGTGTTTCAAGTATTAAAAAAAATGTAGTAATACAAGAAGCATCTATCTACCACCCAGCCTCACCAATTACTAACATTTTGCTACCCTTGTAAACACCCACCTTGCATTCTTTCTGTTAATCGGGAAGAATTACAGGTAATAGCTGTGTAGTCCTCCCCAGTCTCATTCCCTGCCTCCCTGTCCTGCGGTAACTACTATCATGAATTTAGTGACCATGATTTGTTTACATGGTTTCTGTATCTACAACATTTTCAAGTATGGCATCATCGACTCGATGGACATGGGTTTGGGTGGACTACAGGAGTTGATGATGGACAGGGAGGCCTGGCCTGCTGCGGTTCATGGGGTCGCAAAGAGTCGGACACGACTGAGCGACTAAACTGAACTGAGAGGCAGTATAGCTGGTACTATTTATTTGTTTTAAATTTTCTATAAATGTTATCATTCTGTATATATTCTACAACCTGTCCTTCATAGGGGGAGTCAGCTTTTTTGAAATTAGTCCATGTTGTCACATTGTAGCAGGCTTCAAGCTTTATAATTGGTAGAACCATCTAAAATTTTAATCCGAGAGCCGAGGAATAGTGTTTATCTAGTTGGTTCTCCCTTTGGGAACACTGGCTTATTCATTTTAGAACCTCCTGTCAGACCCTCTTTCTACATTCTTGTTGTGTGTGACTGTAATTTGAACACCCTTTTCACCAAATTGCGTGTCATCACAGGTGTTAATCAAGCTTTCATTCTTGGTACACTTCCTACTTTAGCATAGTGGCTTTTTCTCTGCTTACACAGATTTTGAGCTTTTGGATGTACAGATTAATGTTTTAATCAAATGTAAGTTTTCAGATCATATTTCTTCAAATATTGTTTCTGCCCCTTTCCCTGTCTTCCAAGTCTCCCATTATGCAGCTGTTGGTATGCTTGATCCCACAGGGTCCCACAGGCCTCTGTTCGTTTTCCTTCATTTCACATGGATGCTCCTTCTCACCATCCTTGTGCCACTGATATCTTAGAGGGATTACTACTTCAGATCACCCCACTGTCTGCTCAGCTTATTTCTTTGCATCCAGGCTGACCTCTTATTCTCTAAACTAGTCCATTATATTCTATATTTTTCCTTTAAAAAAATCTTCCAGTAGTTTCTCATCAACATACATTAATAAAATTATGGCCTGACTGTTGTCTATACTTTAACCTTCTCTTCGACTTGGCTCCCCACAGGAATAGTGTGTTCCAAGTCTGAGAAACTATTTAGAATTCCCCACATATGCTGTCCCTTAGGGCTTTACTTTTACACACTGTTGTTGGTCTTTCCAGTTCAGCTTAGACCTGACTGCTGCTGAGAAACCATTCCTGAGACTCTGCTTTCTAAATATAATTACAGGGACTACCCTGGTGGTCCAGTGGTTAAGACTCCATGCTCCCAATGCAGGGAGTACGGGTTCAATCCCTGGTCAGGGAACTAAGGTCCCGCATGCCCCACAGTGCAGCCAAAAAATAAAACAATCACAAAAGTATCATCATAGCCCTGTCCAAAAAAAAAAACCAGTTAATTTCTTAATATTATCAAATATCATCAGTTTTACATTTCCCCTGCTGCTCTATACATGCTTTCTTTTTTAAAATAATTTGCACCAATATCATCTTCAGTTTACTATTTCCACAGATCGATTTGGGATATTGCCATTGGATGAGCCCACTGTTCTTGTTAGTGAATTCCTAGATCGTTTTCAAAGCCTTTGTCACTTGGACCTCCAGCTTCCTTCCTTGAGGCCAGAGGACTTAAAAACTATGGTGAGAAAAAAAAAAAATTGAACAAAAAAAAACTATGGTGAGTTTTTCTTGGCTAGCATACAGTGGCCTTCAGTTGTCACCAGCATGAAGCATTTCTTTTAATGACCAGAGGATGAAGATAGCTAAGAAGAGAACTACTTGTTCGTCTCTCAACTGACCTTTTCCAATCTCTACTGGAAAGGTGACTCGAGGGTTTAAATAAATGAGTTCTATTTACACTTTTAGATATGATGCTCTAAGTGGCATAAATTCAATTTTATCTCAATTTGTTACTTAAATACTTAACAGAAGATACTGAAATGTGGCTTCATATGGCTTATTGCATACCGTTTTTCAGACAGACTTAAACTATAGGAAATAGAAGCTATTGTTTTGCTTCTTCAATTGAGAAGCTGTTATGTATTTTAGCATCAGACTATTAACATCTGATGCCTGTTATAAATGTCTACTTGTCCCTAGCCAAGGCAAGTTTTCTTCACCCTGTCATGGTTCTGTATTATTCTTAGAGCAAAAGTAAAGATTCTGGCTAGCTGTTTTGTTGTGTCAAAAGTAAATTCAGGGCTTCCTTGGTGGTTCAGAGAGAAAGAATCCACCTGCTAATGCAAGGGACACAGGTTTGATCCCTGGTCCAGGAAGATCCCACATGACGTGTGATAGTTAAGCCCATGTGCCACAACTATTGAGCCTGTGCTGTAGAGCCCAGGAGCCACAACTACAGTGAGCCCACGTGCCTCAACGACTGAAGCCCACACACCATGGAGCCCGTGCTCCACAACAAGAGAAGCCACCGCAGTGAGCAGCCTGCACACTGCAACTAGAGAGAAGCCCAGGCAGCAACGAAGACCCAGCGCATCCAAAATTAAAGTAAATTCAGTGTCAGGGCAAGATATAAGATATAAGTGGTAGTCATCATTTGGTTTTGAAGTTTACAGATTTCAGAGAAAATATGGAGTTGGTGATTTGAAAGCAAGTTGGTACTAAGAAAAGATGATGTAGTTCCAGGAAAACTGTTCCCTTTCTCATAGCAGATCCTGGGCAGGTCAGGAAGTGCTTGTGGATACCTTAGCCCCTGCTAGAAATAAGTCTACTTGAGTGAAGAGAATTGTCTTTGTGTTTATCATTTTTTCCATAATTTTTCCCTTGTACCATCTAGATGCATCATTATCTATGGCTTCTGTTCATGGTGGTTGAAATTTATGTCTTTCATATTGGTTCCTTTGTAGTGCTTGACAGAAGACAAGATCAGTCTTCTCCTGCACCTGCTTGAAGATGAACTTGATCACCGGACTGATGAGAGAAAAACTGCAACCAAATTAGGCTCAGACATCCAAGTGCATGTCACTGCCTGTATTCTCTCCGTGTGTGGCTGGGCGTGTAGGTTAGCGAATGTGCCTGGGGACATAAACCGTGATGACACTATCAGTTCAGTCGCTCAGTCGTGTCTGACTCTTTGCGACCCCATGAATAGCAGCACACCAGGCCTCCCTCTCCATGTATATCAGTTACTCTTAGCATTTGTAGATCACGTGGTGTTTGTGTGAGAAAGGCAGTGACAGAGAAAACCTAAGTGGGTGGAAGAGGGATAGTAAGAATTAACAACCAAACCAGAATTAGAACTCAGGAATTTGTGAACACACCTAAACTTTGTTTCTTTTACTGTCACTTGCCAGTAGGAAATTTGTGTTCCTGTAAACAGTGAAGCTCCTTTCTAATTTTAGAAAGGAAAAACCAGTTTAACTGATGAAATCTACCAAGGAAGCACCAGCTGAATCCTCTAGGCCCCAGCTTGGTGTTTCCATTCCAGCTGCTCAGTTTGGCACAGAATCCTTCTGAGACAGAAGACTGTCAGACCAATTTTGATTTACTTTAAATATGCTTTCTTTGGTACATTAAGGACTATTCTTTTATAGGGAAAAACTTTTAGAAGGGACATGAGAAATTTATAAAACATACCTTTAAAATGGGGCTTCCCTGGTGGTTCAGACAGTAAAGAATCTGCCTGTAACAGAGGAGATCTGGATTTGATCCCTGGGTTAGGAAGATCCTCTGGAGAAGGGAATGCCTACCCATTCCGGTGTTCTTGCCTGGAGAATCCCGTGGACAAAGGAGCCTGGCAGGTTACAATCCATGGCATCACAGAGAGTCGGATACAACTGAGTGACTTAACCTTTTCACCTGTGAAATAATCTTGCCATAGACGGCACACTAAGATCCCTAGATCTTTCTATAGGAAATTTGTAAGAGGTGATGAAGTAGGAGGACAGGAGCCCTGAGAGGAGGTGGTCCCCAGGCCATTGGACTGCCCAGAGATTTGTTTGATGAGATGAAGCATACTCACAAATCATTATGTTTAGTCCCTTGGCAGTATTACCTTCTGAGAAAACCCACTCTCTTTTCTTTTCTTACCTAGTTCTTTGTTGGAACCCATGCAGCTCTCCCTGATAACTTGTTCACAGTGTATGAGGAAGGTGGGGCTCTGGGGCTTTCAGCAGATCGAGTCGTCCATGACTGACCTGGACGCTTCCTTGGGCCTGACCAGCTCCCCTGTCCCAGGCTCTGAGGGCCGGCCAGAGCGCTCCCCTCTGGTGCCTGAGTCTCCTCGCAGGATGGTGACTCGGAGCCAGGATACCATCTTTTCCCCAGGCTCAGAGCAGGTATAGACTCCTTTGGCATGTTTGGGGTGGACTTTTTAAAAACATCATTCTTACCAAAAATGTTGGTGAAAAATTGGAAATTAGCTTAGGTTAATTGATCAGAATACCATAGAATGGTTTTATTCACTAGTTGCAGTGGAGATGCTAAATTCATTATTTTGTATGGAAATCTGTTATTCTTTGAAGAGTTCAGTTACACAGTTCAGAAACTAAATTTTTATACTTTTTAAAATGTTAAAAAGCAATAAATATTAGCTTTCACATACTTCTAGAAATATTTGTCCTGACCATAGTCATTAATGTCATTGTCCAACATCTCCCTTTTCCTTCAGGCTGAAAAGAGCCCAGGTCCCATCATCTCTAGAACTCGGAGTGGGGACTCATCCAGTCCTGTGGACCGTCCCGAGCCGGAGGCCACTAGCCCTGCCACCAGAACCCGCCCAGTGACCCGCAGCATGGGAACGGGAGAAAGCGCCAGCCTGGAAGTGCCATCTAGTCCTCTTCGAAAAGCCAAACGGGCTCGCCTCTGCTCTTCCAGCAGCTTGGTGAGCCCACCTGCGTGCTTGGAGGTCCCTGAGCACGCCAGCATGCGAGCTCTCACTATATAGAGCATGGAGAAGCAGGCGTGAGCCGAGCCTGGTCCTGCAGCTGTAGGAGGCTGTGGGAATAAGTTTAAAGATGGGACAGTTGGGTGACTTGAAGGGAAAAAAATTAAGGGTTTTGCCTTTTGTTTCTTTGGGATGGCTACTGGAGACATGATAAATTTGTCTAGCCCAAGGGGCAGTAGTGAGAAAGGGGAACAGACCTGATAAGTTGTGGTTTAACACAAAGGGAGTGAAGGAATTTTTAAAATGAGAGGGAAGTAGATGGGCAGAGTTTAAAGGAGAACATAAAACTAGAAATGTGAATGTCGTGAGATTCTGAATTTGACGACTTAGAGCAGAGCCTCCCTGAACTTACACAGTGTCTGCCTTCATTAACACTGACTGCTCTGCCTCCTTCCTCAGGACGCCTCTTCCCGAAGCTTCTTTGATCCCACGTCTCAGCATAGAGACTGGTGCCCTTGGGTGAACATCACACTCGGTAAAGAAACCAGGGAGAATGGTGGCACTGAGGTGGATGTCAGCACTCCGGCAGAGCCAGGCTGGAAGGCAGTGCTGAACATCCTTTTGGCCCACAAACAGTCTAACCAGCCTGCTGAAACCGACTCCATGGTGAGATAAGCCGTTGCCCTGATCATGTGCAGCACTTGCTGTTTATGAGATGAGGAGAATAGGCTGTTCCTATAATTAGCACTCTGCCTGCCCACAGTTTTCACAAGTCAAGATGGACTCTGGGTTCATCCTAGAGAACAGACAAGGAACTGGCTCGCTCTTTCTGCAGTTTAGCATTTGGCATTCCACCAAATTCTGATAAATTCTTTATCTCCTCAACTTAGATGACTCGAAGTAGAAAAGGGATAGAGAAACAGCAAGAGGTAACAGGCTGCTGCTCCAGTCTCGTGTTGCAGAGTAGCTACTTTTTCCATCTGAGTTGCTATCTCTTGGACTTGGAGCCCTGGCCAGTTAACTTAGCTGTCTGGACGGAGCTCTGTACTCTGCTACCATGAACACAACTTAATTTCTCATGGTGGGCATGTTACTTTGCTGTGTTCCGAGGCCCCAGGTTTGTGCACTGACCCTCAGCTGCCATCACACGAATGACTGCTGCTGGTTCCACTTGTGGGTAAAAGCAAACCCATCACGAAAGCTGAGAAAGCAACTCAAGCGTTTGCTCTATGCCAAGGATGGAAGTGAGAGGACGGTGGGCATTAAGGAATCATGAAAACCGCATTCGCTTTCCTTTGCTGGCTCATTCCCAAATATGCCATGTCACCTGCTTGGTATAAATATAGTAATTTCTGACTTCTGCTGCCTCCAAGGACAAAGTAAAATAATACTTGCCAGCAGCTGTTTATCAGAAGCATTCTCAGATTCATGGTTTTGTAGGGTTACAGGATTCCACTAGAGGGAGCTGCTGTGATGCTAAAAGCTCAAGAATGTACATTCGTACCCTTAGTAAATATGCAGATGATGGTTTTCCAAGTTTTTGCCCCCCCCAAAACCCTGCATTTTTCTAGTTTAAGACCTTGAAAATACATAAAGCTATCTGAAGACAAATGTTTTGGCCCACCTTTCAAATGGGAGAGATTATCTCTGTCTTTGCACATGAGTTCACTCTGCCTGGGTCCTCATGAAAAATGTATGGCAGTTCTAATTGACTCCCCTCTGTCACTGTCATGCTAACTGGGAACCCCACAGGGCTTTTTTTTTTTTGGTAGTGGGAAAATTTGGCCTCATAACTGGCCCTGAGTTCCAGAACTTTGAAGGTCTGTTTTGGCAACTTGTCTGATAAGATTCCTCACAGCTGTTGTGTGACTGGGAATTATAAAACTTAAGAGCCTCTCTTGTAAAGGATCTTGAAGCTAGAAAAAAAGTTTACACTGTTTTCCAACTTAAATTTCTTTCAATTTTGTCACTGTATTAACTAGATTGCCCTCAGTCATGAGTAAGAGTTCAAACTTTGCCCTTCTAGAGCTTTATTTTATTAAGACATTCAGCCACAAAGAGGGTAAGAAAACAGTGAAAATGTCATCTTCTGTCAGACATTGGAGGGAACTTTGTGGGTTATCTTGTTAGATGTGTTTGTGCTCTCACCAAGATCCTGTGCTCTTCTGTGACTCTCCAAGGCAAAGACAACCAAGTGTTCTGCTTCCCTGAGAACTTTAATCTTTCAGTGAACTGTTCTGTCTCCCTGTAACACCATTTCTCAGAATCTCAGATCACTTCACAGGCATGATCAAGTGGCAGTGAGATTCTTCCTATTATTAGCTCTGCTGGCTAAAACAGGAAGCTGAGAAGGCCAAGGTCATAGCTTAAACTCTTCAGAGTCATTCAACTTTGTTTCATTCCTCAACCTTAGATTATTCCATAAACACCAGCTTGGCATCTTATGAATATGAATCCTTGTTCACAGGGCCAGTTCAACAGTCACAGATGAGAAGTCAGTGCACAGTGTGTGGTGCTACACTGATGGCGGGTCACACGTGTCATCCTCTCATACAAAGATGAGGACACGTACGAATGCTTGGAGTAGGACATGAGCCGTATTGTAGAGGCTCCGAGCGTGTTAACAGTGGTATCACAGCAGACTCAAGCTTCTTGATTCTTAGTCTGGCTTTTAGCTATACCCACTCCAGTGTTCTTGGGCTTCCCTTGTGGCTCAGCTGGTAAAGAACCCGCTTTCAATGCGGGAGACCTGGGTTTGACCCCGGGATTGGGAAGATCCCTTGGAGAAGGGAAAGGCTACCCGCTCCAATATTCTGGCCTAGAGACTTTCTTGGACTGTACAGTGCATGGGGTCACAAAGAGTCAGACATGACTGAGCGATTTTCACTTTCACTTTATGTATAGCACAGTATACAATTAACTTGTTTTATTCACTCCTATACATATCTAGATCATTGTGGGAGAAATTTATAGACCACACCTTAAAGCTATTACCCTTTGTCTCTATAAAGGAATTTAATCTCTAATAATGAACTTTTCTATCTACAGAGTCTCTCTGAGAAATCAAGGAAGGTATTCCGAATATTCCGGCAGTGGGAATCTCTGTGTTCATCCTGAAGATATCCCAGCTCTTCTTGCAGAGAAGTGGAATGAGTGGCTTTGAAAAAGAAAGCCTAAATTCCTTTTTGAGCAGCTGATTCTAAGTTTTTCTCCATTCTGGTTTAATCACAAGGAGCCCCTGCCCTTGCAAAGACATATGTGTCACCGCCTGCATCTGACAAGAGGAAGCCTGTTTGCAGCGTAGGGATGTGCAGGAGAGGCAGGCCGAACCTGGCTCTGGTAAAGGAGTGCGTGATTCCAAAACTCCCCAGAGGACCCTGGCCTTGAGTGGTTTTCTTGTCTGAGGTCGGGGCAGTGTTTGAAGACTCTTATGTCCCAGGAGTATGTCAGTGTGTGTTAATAAAACATCTGTTAAGGTTCTTACAGTTGGAGAACTATTTTCCTCCTTCCTGGGCTGATATAAAGGAAGCTGAGACTGAGAAAACTACTACAGTGGAGCAGTAAATACAGAATTTTAGTTTTCAGATTGGCTGCAAAGCCTGGATTTATCTGTGATTCTAGTCAAAGAGGTATTCCTCAACAGAGACAAGACATTGTTCCCTGCATCACCAGACCTCCTGATGCGTTATAGTGAATGGTAAGCTCATGGTTTTCTCCCTTCACTTGTTCCCTGCATCACCAGATCTCCTGATGTGTTATAGTGAGTGGTAAGCTGATGGTTTTCTCCTTCACTTGATAATAGCAAGAATGAGAGAAGCCAAAGGGAGGAAGGCTCTTCAGAAGAGACCCCCTCCGTGTGCCTTCCAGTGCAAGGCTCCCCTGAGTGGCGCTCCCCAGGGCTCTTTCACTGCCCATGGGGAGTTGTCTCCAAGGTGGAGAAGTTGACCCTGACCTGCCCCAACTAAATAGACTACCCACCAAGAGAGCAACCATGAAGGAAACTAGGTATTCTACCAAATGTCATATTTTCTTTCAGTAGCTGTGGTAGGTTGGTTTTATAACTCACTTTTATACTGAAGTATTCTAGGAACATAGTATGTAATATAATACTCTACCCATGCTAAACTTTATATCTCTAAAAAAAAATTTTTTTTCTATGTATTGCACCCAACAAAATAAACCCTTAATATCATCTAATACTCAGTCCATATACAAAATTCCCAGTTGTTCCCAAAATGTCCTTTACATTTGATTTGTCCACAGCAGTATCCAATTCAAGAAGTAATGGGTTGCATAAATCTCTTTAGTCTAAAGGACAGCTCCTTTTTTGTTCATGTATGTCAGATTTTAAATTTGTTATTTTTTTCAATCCTGACTTTTTAAAGAGGGTACATAGTGTTGATTTTGCTCTTAAATCAAGCCTCCATCAGTGGGTAAGACTGGTAGAGGCTGCTTCCAAATTATTTTTCTAGGGGCACTCCTTTGCCTTTGGCATTGATGAATGGCTTGACTGTTCATTCTCCAGTCTGCATGGTCCCCTTAGAGGTTGGTTAACAGGTATCTTCCTAATGTTCTAGTAATGAGACTTCTGGCCTAGGATGGGAAGCCATCTGCTGACTAGTGACTATGTAGAAGTCTGCTCACTAGAAGCTCATAGCCTCTAGGTCACAATTTCTTAAGGAGTAGTGTTGAGTCATTAACACAAGGTATTCAAATGGACTACAAGCCTAAGTTTCAGATTATAATAATGTGGGTATTTCTTTTGAGTCTTTATATTATAATTTTAATTTAGACCTCCCACCAAAAAAGGTTTTTACTCTTCTTTAAAATAGGCAGAGTTCCATACTATTTTTGGCTTTGTGGGATTTTTTTAAATTATAAACGGAAGCAAATTGGGATAGACTTGATACCATTTAAGAAACATTAAGTCTCGTGTGTGGCACTGTCCAAGCCCTTATATAACACAAGCATGAATGATCACGTGGTTTCTACCCTCAAGAAGTTCCACCCTCCAAGTCCAACCTGGAAGATACATGTACACATAAATGTCACACAAGACAAAGAGTGATAAACATAAAAAAGTATAAAATAAGTTAATTCTCATTACGGAATATATGGAATTGGAGAGAAATTGGGGTAAGGTGTGGATTTGGGCTGAGCCTTAAAAGATGAGTTGGAGATGTAGGCTCTATGAGAACAGGGACCTTGTCTGTGTTGTTTTATCATCTTAGCACTTAAAACTGCCCTGTACATGGTGGATGCTTAATGAAAAAAGGATATTTGAGGCTGAAGGAACTGAACAAACGAGCAGAATTTCATATGTTTCTGAAAGAGCAGGTGTTCTGCCATGACAAGACCTTTGCATTGAGTAGAAGAGAACGGCTGAAAGAATGCAGTCTGGGCCAGTTTGATGTCTCATATGTTATACTGAGGCAATTCTGTGGGAAGAGAGAAGCCATGGAAGAATTTTTTGAGCAGGGAAGTGACATTTGTGCCCAGGAAGACAATCCTGGTGTGTGTAGAGCATGCGCTAAGGGAGACAGGAATCTGAGGGACATGTGATGGCTGGGAAAATGGGTGCTTGGATAAAAATGTCAGTGGTGACTTCAACCTTGGTTTGGGGGTGAAGAAGACGGGAGGAGTCATGAATGGTCTTGAGGTTTGTGGCCTGCCCAGTCAAGGTAGGGAGCTCAGGTGGGGAGGGAAGACAGTCGTTTTATTTTTAAACATTGTGAGCTCAGTTTTGTAAAAATACCTGTCTGGAAATGGTGTTTTGAGGTCAGGAGAGTTCAGTGCACTAGTCAAGGATCATTATTTCAAATGCTCAGAATATGTAGACTCTAAAGCCACATAGAGTGATGCTGTCAACCTTATCATCTCGTAAGGATCTTAATGCCAGCCTTAAGTTTTGTTTTGGTTGTACCACATCGCCAACTGGGATCTCAGTTCTCCAATTAGGATTGAACCCAGACCATGGTATTGCAAGCCCGGGAACCTAACCACTAGGCCACCAGGGAACTCTCAGTGCCAGCTTGTTTAACAGTGTACCTGAGGGCTTGAGGCTGCCTGTCAAGTTTCTGATGAATGCTACTAGACTGGATGAGTATACTTTCAAATAGTAATGTGTGGTCTTGGATGGGGTGATGATTAATTTTATGTGTCAGTTTAGCTGGTTAACGGATAGCTGGTAAAACATTATCTCTGGGAACTTACTTGGTCATCCACTGGTTAAGAATCTGCCTTCCAAGCAGAGGACAGTGGTTTGATCTCTGGTTGGGGAACTGAGATCCCACATGCCATGTGTGCAGCTAAGCCAAAGTACCACAGCTACTGAGCCCACGTGCCACAATGAAGATCCAGCACAGCCAAAAATAATATTATTATATTATCAGCCTGTGAGGGTATTTGCAGAACAGATTAGCATTTGAGTTGGTAAACTCGGTAAAGAAGATCACTCTTACCAATGCAAGTGGGCATTATCCACTGAGAGCCTGAGCAGAACAAAAAGGCTAAGGAAAGGCGAATTTGCTCTCTGTGGGCTGGAACCTCCATCTTCTGCCCTGGAACACTGGGGCTTCTGGTTCTTGGGCCTTTGCAGCTGGACTGGGACTCCACCACTGGTTTTCCTGGGCCTCCAAGCTTGCATGTGGTTGGCAATAGGACTTCTCAGTCTCTGTGATCATGTGAGCCACATCCCATAATAATTCTTTCTTTATATGTATCCTATTGGTTCTCTTTCTCTGGAGACTGCTGACTGATACAGATGAGAGTGAACTTAGGAGCTTCATCTCCCAAAGAATTTGATTCCTTCCACACACTAGGACATCACTTCAAGCTATTATTCATGGTTGTGGATTGCTCTTCTAAAAGTGTTTGGTTTGACCTTTCTGGTAACCCGTTTTTCCTTATTTGATTCTTTATTTGAAAAAATTTTTTATTTCATTTGACAGACCCTTTTAAAGAATGAAATTGCCTAAATTTTTAATTTTGCTACTTTACTATCTTAAAGATATCATTATAAATTATCATTATAAAGAATTTCCCCACTTAAACCTAGCCAGACTAGGTAGCTTACAGAGGTACTATATAATCTCTGTTATCTCCTGCTGGCTTTCTCGTGGGTAAATAGAATTACCAACACCTTCCACTCTCCCTCCCAGGTCAGAATCTTCTTTTGCCATCTGGGTCCCAGGGATCAAGGCAGATGGTACCTTGAAGACCCCCAGCTGTTCAAGTCTATTCAGACTTCCTAGTTTGGTCAGTCCTGCCAGCCTTCAGATTCTCCTTATATTATTTTTCTCCACTGAGGCCTCTAGGATTCTGTGTTTTGTTCTAACACAAGTTGCATTTCCCATCCAAGTAGGTTATTTTTTTTCACAGGTTAAGATTGGAGCTCAGACATTGAATAACATCTTGCTCTATCATACAGCTAGAATGTGACTGTGTGTGCTAAGTCTCTTAAGTCGTGTCTGACTTATTGCAACCCTATGGACTGTGGCTTGCCAGGCTCCTCTGTCCATGGAATTCTCCAAGTAAGAATACTAGAGTGGGTTGCCATGCCTTCCTTCGGGGGATCTTCTGGACCCAGGGATCAAACCCACATGTCTTACATTTCCTGCATTGGCAGGTGGGTTCTTTACCACTAGTGCCACCTGGGAAACACAGAATGTGACAGAGCCCCTACTTAAACCCATGTTCCCCAGCCTCTGTTCTTTGCATTATGGCACAGCTTGGAATACCTTTCAGCTCAGTGAGTCTTAAGATTTTCCTTTCCTGAGCATTAAGTCAAGACCTGCTCTCATAGGGGAAAGGAGTATCTCAAAATCACTTATGGGATACCAGTACCAGAATGCATCTGTCACCTGGCTCTTAGATTTTAGCCAACTGGAGTAGACTTAGCAGGTGGAACATTCTCTCTGGGGACTTTCCTCATTTACTCATCAAACTCTTAACACCAGTTGTGGCTGCTTTGGAGCCAGCTTTTAAATCCCTTCCACCCTGTTCCATCTTAGAACAGAAACAGCTGCTTGTACAACTTGACCAAGGGCAAAAGTACAAACACTTCTTCCTCCTCAGTTTTCCTTGCTATTTTTAGTTTTATGCCTATTTTAGATTTT